CCAGAGATAATGAAACAGTCGCAGAGTGGCATCCATCGCGTTCAAATGTTGGTCTGAATGTGCAATAAACAACCTGGGCACATCTAAAGGGAAATAGACGCTAATAAACCATATACTGCAATCAAGACATCAGATAATGCGCCACAAACCGTCCGAAACCCGTGATGTACAACTTACACGAACTGCATGTGGCCAGGGCAAAGGTCAAGGCCACGGAGCGTTATTAGTCGTGGAGTTATCCTTAGTATTAACATTAGGGCGACACCTACCGAGAATTCTCATTACTAACATGGTTTATGCATAACATAAAACTAGTAATGAGTACACGATGGGGAACATGTATAATTTGATTGTCTTGCAAAGAGGACAATGCATTACCTACAGTATGTGCAAGTTGAATATTTCACTTTTCATCACTGATCGATACTTGAACGTGCATACATCTATTGTAGCAACGGTATTTATTAATCACAGCTCGCCAAACGTTTACTGCTTAAGACGAGAAGTATTAATCATCTCGAGGAAGCAGTATGAAATATATCCGACCAGATGGTGTATATTACAAGACTTTTGGTATGTTTGTAACGCACAGACTAATATAATATTATGCACATTTTGCCTTGCCTTGTTGCTATATTTAAACAGTCAAATGTATTATTTTGAAAAGAAACCACTTTATGTCTTAGATATTTCGTACAACCATAAACACAATAGCTTAATTTATCGCAAATAGTGAAACCTTGTCCCCTAAAATATTGACAACAGTCGAACAGTGAATAAACCATGGTATTAAATTTTAGCTTCATAAACAACCCATAATGTCAGAATGACCCCCAATATAACAATAAACACCTTATGATTTCCAAATAAACTGACTGACAAAGATACGACGACCACTCGATGGTCAAGCTGACCGTAACTACTTAGTCGAAATGACCTGGAGGATAAAACCTCCCCACACTTGATGTGCTGCGTTAGCATTCATGACTACCGATCACATGCCCTTCGTTTTATCTGTGTCCAGTGTGGGCTTAGTGACCACTGAAGTGGACACCCGTTGTCCGTAGCTTAGTAATGACCACTCGAGTCATACTCCGCTGCCGCTCAAACCCCGAAGATATTGAAATTAAAGCAGGACCATGCTGTATGAAACGCATTAAAGGCGCGCCGTGCGATAGGAGAATAATGAGAAAAAGCCCACGACTCCATTGAAAGCAAACAGCTGATAACAACGCGACAATAAAAGAAGCCATGCGAAAGTTTTCATTCATTTAATGTCCCTGAAATGGTCAAATTATCATCTAACCCTTTATTTGCCCACTTGAAACAGCTTGCTGTAAAGCAGCACCCTGTCTCACCCCTAGCCTCGGGCTTCGGTAAAGCCGTAGATGAAGAGTCTACCGCCAAAACATCAGTTAGTACGGCCACTGTGATCTAACACTGACCAATACTGACCAGCAGGGTCGTTAAAAGGGGTCAATCGAGCGTGTTTTGGGGTGGTTATTTCTAAATCTGACCCCTCATTACGTCGTGACAGCTTGACCACCAGAGCAATAGCAGTTGCTGTTATGACATCGGAGCTCTAACTGGACATGTTACCTAAGCATCATGTTACCATCAGCAGCTGTTGTTCAAATTTGATCTGATAAAATAAATTGAAGATGACAGGTTAAACTATTTATAAATTAGATTTAAACATGAAATACCAGTAGCATCTGGACTTTTAAACCAGTTTGTGAAACACGTATCTCAGAGACAAGTAATTCAACATTAGTTGTTGGAGCCCGAGGGAAAATAAATATTGCTTTTTTATGAGATCCATTGGTGACAGGTAAGTACTGTTTTACGACTACAGATTCACTGACAACGTGATGTGGCTTTGTCTCGGGAAACAAATATACAGGCGATTTATGTGTTATCGGCGAGAGTATGTATATAGGGATTGATATATAGTCTTTATATGTGTCCAGTTACAGATGGCCAGCGGCCGGAAACAATATAAAAACATGAATCAACACACATTTGATTGACAGTGGGTGTTTTGGACTACGTTTGGTCAGAAAGCATTTTTGATTTTGGACTAATGGCAGCCATTGTTATGGAGTGTATTTAAACCACTCTTGCTTCACAATGATTACGGGAAATAATTGCAGTGAGGAAACATTTTGAAAGGACAATACATTTGTATGTGAATATTTAATACTGATGAATCACATATAGAGTTTTAGAGTCATTTGGGACATTCGCCACAAAACAGATTTCACAGTTAATTTAAATGTAATTTATTGATTATAAGTATACCAGTATACAGTATAAACAAAAAATGCTTTCATGTCAGCTTGACTTCATTAATGTATGCAGACAATAATGGTGGAAAAAATTTATAATGAGAGATTACCATTACTCCAAGTGGAGTACATGCATATCCTAACATACACCTTGACACAATGCATGATTTATGCATACTATCTGCTGCACGTACATTACATGTAAAAGGTATTACATGTAGTGGTTGTACATGCAGTTCCTTATATGCACCTTGACACAATGCATGTTTTATGCATGCTATCTGCTGCACGTACTTTACGTGTAAAATGTATTAAATGTAGTGGTTGTTGGAGAACACGCGACGGATCATGCACGTTATCTGGACATGGAGATACTGCTTCGTGGAGAGGGTATCGATCTCCTTGCATTTTGCACTACGATAAAATACGATGATGCACTGTCATGGTGTTTATCTGTCACATAAACGGTTACAATGAAAAGAAAATGATAGCATTGTCAATGAGGTAGGTCAAGTACAATACCCGCTGGACACGATAAACGTATCTATTCTTGACTGACTGACTGAGTTTGGTTTTACGCCGCTTTTGGCAATATTCCAGCAACATCACGGCGGGGGACACCAGAAATGGGCTTCACACATTGTACCCATGTGGGGATTCGAACCCGGGTCTTCGGCGTGACGAGCGAACGCTTTAACCACTAGGCTACCCCACCGCCCCTATCTATTCTTGAAAACGGGTATCGTCATTTTTTTATTGCCATTCAAGAACACACGCTTGTGATATAGACGAAATCGAACAATGTAGATTTCTTAAGGTTATAAAGCGTTCTGTTTCTTATATATAAGATTTTCGTTCTGAAGTCCAAGTAGAACTGTATTTATTATCTGGTTATATAAATAAGGAATAAAAATATTTCTAAAAATTCGGAAACGGAATAACGGCATTGACTTTAACCCAAAAATCAGTCTAGAGGCATTATAGACTGATTTCGTCGGGCATGGTTGCCTTGAATCAAATCCAGAATCATGTGGACACTGGACTATATACCGACCTGCTCTATACATAAATACCTTTCCATATCGATGGGCAAGGACACATTACTATCACCATCGTATAGCTATCCCACTGGCTGACCACTGCCCAGACAGGTCATAGGCCAGGTCAGAAAGACCTTCATCACTGGCAATGGACAATGCATCACGCAGGTTCATCTCCTATTACACCCTTGGTGCATAGATTTATCTATTGTCCATGGTTGGGGTTTACTGAGAATGGCATGTCGTTATTGTTGAATATGTACCAAATTCTGAATGCACGTATGGGGTATGTCACTCTAACCCGACTTACTGACAATGAGAACAATGAACCAGTCCAGAAAGCCATTGATACGAAATTTAAGGAAAGGCTAACCATATTGTCCATACAAAATTCTATGAGTATCATATCCTGACAAGATTAAAACTGATAGCTCCTGGACGTATGGGAGGCCAACCGTGTTATCTCCTTGGTGAAGGTACAGTGCCATCTACCTATGAACCAATGTAATATGAGATTTTATATAGAACTGTCATGACATTTGGATTCTTCCTCAGTACAATGACATATGCATGTAGCAGGGACCATGAGTAATTTGAATTTAATTCATGACACGCAGGATGAGTGAAATCTAAGCTTAGCGACACGGAATTTACCTGATTGTGTCACGTCACAAAAGTAACCTTTGACCCATGACACTGAAAACTGACCCCTGGTAGATGATCGGTGACACAGCTCCAGTAATCTCAGATTCTATCCCTACAGAATGTTAATAGGAACAGTTAGCCACACTGTTACATAGCGGCTATTAAGCGTGGACATGTAGTACCGCCCTGCCCCACCCCCTCGGCAGAATACTGAGGGGTTCGTGGCATCCTTCAACCCCCTGCCGTAATTTCCTCCTCCAAAGTGTGGGAACGTCCCTCCCCCAGACAACCTATTACTAAAGGGTGCAAGTAATGAGTCATCATGTCTGATTTAATAGTCCATTGAGAATATTCCAACATCTCACATCCATCAACTAAGTGTGTTCGCGAAAACATGGGTTCACCAACGAGGAGTGAATTAAAGGCAAGAATTTACGGATGTTAACTTCGTTATTTTGAGGAACAAGACGTTTCGGAGTAAATTCAGGATATCAGGAGAATGATAGTGAAAATAGAGTTCTCATGAACACGGACCCACCTACACCTACCCATATGTACGACATTGCATAACATATACACAAATGTAGTCATACTCTACCCTGTCCCTCGCCAGCTTATGCTATACTGTTTCTGGATGTAGACTTCAAAATATGGTGTGCCCACCTTCTGCGAAAAGTGCCATTACTGAACATAACCGTTTCGACAATAGAACCGAAAGTGCCTGCGCAAGAACTCAGGCCTACCCACAATCTGCCTGCTGCAAAGAGAATGTACCACTCATAATTCTACAATATTCAAACAGATCCGCCACCCACTGTCCCCTTCCCAAACATGCACACACCCTCCAAATAAATACTCGTGTCGTGACACCCTGTTGCCCTCCACACTACCCCTTTAAGTGTCTTGCCAACCCTCCACCCTAATTGTTTTGGGAGGGTCTGTCAGGTGCCGTTTCAAACTGGCACTGATTAAGGAGAAAATGAGAACATCGCCAGTTGGGTGGATGACGTAGTGACGATAATCTTACCTGAATCTCACGTGCGGAGGTCAGGAGTCAAGCTACCTTTGACCCGGAAGTTCAACACACGATTCTATGAGCATCCTGGAAAATATAAAGAGACGATTAAGATGTATTGTTACTTGACAATTGAAAAATTACAATATTTGTTGTTTCACTTTCAGTATTAATAATAAAACGCCCAAATATTAGAGCAGCAACCATGAGCCAAGATTAAGATGTTTATAGCAATAGATCGTCAGGAAATATATAATAAACATAATGATAAGGATACGGTGATGACTACGCAGATTTGAAGATTATATACGAATTACGGTCCTTTAGCATCACGTTAAAGCAAGCGTTCTGACTGATTGATATGACATGCCAGTTTTCTTTGATGTCGATTTCAACACTTTAATTTAGGTTGCATGCAACGAGCATTATAAGTGGCAACTATCATCTGAACAAACCATCAAGCATAATATTAAACAGAACGCAAGGTTTCATTAATTTTTTAATCTAAGATTAAACCAAGCGTCTCAAAATTCAAACCCAATGAACTTTAAACGAACAAAACACACTGAGTGAAGTCACACATGTTCTGGCAAACACACCCAAGTGTGACGACATTCGACTGAGCAAACCTGAAATTATCAATACGAACTTACTGAAAATCGTGAGGCTAATTGTCATTGCTAAATAATCATTACACAGCCAACTCTAGGGCACGTAACTGTATCAAAGCAAAGGTTTTACTGCAGCTGAATAAACTTGCGATGTAAAAGGTATTGTCGTTCAAATGTTTAAAAAGTATTCAGATAGCCGCGACGCCAGGAAGGATGAGACAGGTGATTGATTCGTGTCAGTCCCGACATTGACGGCAAAGGTAGATTCGTGATGGTGCAGTATCATAGGGATTTCGTGTTTCATCAAACTATTCTTCAAATAGTCGCACTATAATTTCTTAACTGAGATTGATTTAAAGAGGCTTGCATGTCTCGATCTTGGATTTTTCTTTGGATTGTCTTTGAAACCATTTTTACATATCAAACCGGCGCCAATGATCCTGCAATAACGCCGTCTAAAAAAGTTCTTCGATATAATATGTTTGTAGAGCCTGTGATGAACTGATGCTGAAACTAGCAGATGTTATTGTACAGTGTATGAAGATAAGAGATTAAATCGAGATTGACAAATAGATATGAATTTATATGCATATGGTGACACACACATATAAACGTCAACGTGGTGGTGGTGGTGGTGGAATTGGGTTTTACATCGTGCTTGAGTATATTTCGCTCATATGACGACGTGCATGCGTGTGTATCTGTTTGTGCGCCTGCTTGTACTAGCCCAGACTTAAGCTGGTTTTATAGTGCTAGCCCACTGAGATACCATGCCGCAGTGAAGCATGAATACCCCACTCAGACACATTATACTGACTCCGAGCCGACCAGTCCTTGTTGTACCCATTAATGCCGAGCGCCAGGCAGGGACCAACAAGTACCATATTTTAACGTCTTTTGGTATGACGCGGTCGGGGATCGAACCCGCGACCTTCCGCACTCCGGGCGGACGCTCTAACCACTACACCAGGGAGGCGGTCTAAACGTCAACGTAAGAGAATAACAAATCTTCAGACAGATTGTTTTGTTTTGAAAATTATTATACGTATGGATCACTGATATTCAGTGATGACACCAGGTGTTCACAGAAAGGGTAAACATACCCTGCCCTTCCGGTACCCCCTGTCGTTCACAGAATGTACATAAAACAAGAGAATGTATTGCCTGGTGCCACAGTTGCCATTTGGAAGCGGCATGTAAGCAAACCAGACTATCAAGTGATCGATGGACTAGTTAATATAGTGACACAATTGTTCATTTAATGACTATGTTGAAACGTTTAAAACGATATATTATTCCTGAATTAAATATGCTGCGCTGAGACTCTGATTCTAAAAACGCTAAAGAGCAATATTTCGATTCGCAACGCAGTTAGAGTCAGTTTGCGTATTCTTGTGGAAAAACGGTCACCAGAATGTTCAACGGGGCACTTAATGTCCGAACAATATGACACTTGTAAGATTCTCAAATGAGAAGAAACAAGAGAAAATATATTACCTGGGAAAAAATAACACCTTAGGTTAAAGTACATAAAATATCGTTATAAACATACGACTATACAACTGCTTGCTTCAGTGTATATCTGGTTAAATATTCACCACAAAGCTGATACAAGACACGACTGGGGTATTTCTTTGCATTCTATATTATACCACCAACAGAACACAGTAGATACTTGATTGGTAAGTGATATGGTTAATCTAATTTGGTCGTAAATCCCTTCTAAAAGCGGTCTTTTTCATTGTAGCGAATCATCTGACCTTTGACCCAGCGTCTATTCTCACTTGGGAGTTAAAAGAAATGCGTCGATTTTGAAGCATTTACACCTGTATCAGCGTTCCCAATTGCATTATTCTACCTGTCAGAGATCACCTGAGCCGGGTGTCACCTCGACGACACATTAAACACCCATATGCTTCGCGACGATCACGTTCTTAATTAAATTTAAGCTTTCATTGTCACACACTTGACTTTGATTCAATCTGTGTTCCCCACCAACCCCCGAACACACGCACCGTCATACCCAGCCACACCTGGTACCATGATAGGAGTGTGCAGGGGGGATGTTGTATACTGACATATGACATTAACTGTAGACGATATGATTGTTTGTATGTGATTAGGGAATACATGTCCAGTTTCTGCAAATGCTCAGTAACAGGAGCGACATTGTTGCATTATTAGGTTTCAATTTGAAGCATGTCTAGATTACCACGGACGTATTTCAGTTTCTGCAGACTAAATGAACAATATTAATGAAGAACGTTATTCTTTGTGCATCACTTGTGTACGGAGAGAGAGAGAGAGAGAGAGAGAGAGAGAGCCGAGAGAGAGAGAGACTAGAGAGACGAGAGAGATCATTTATTAGAGAGTGAGAGTTGAGAGAGAGAGAGAGTAGAGAGTAGAGAGAGAGAGAGTGTCAACAGTATTTGTAGACGTTATCAAAAGATCATTTATTAGCAGTTAGTCGTAGTAACAGTATTAGAAATGGGTCAACAGACAGATTTCAGTGTAGTAGGGGTCGTAGTAGTATTAGGGGAAAGACAGATTTCGTGGCGAGCAGCGTTGCCAAAGTCAACAGTAATTCCAATAGCAGTTTACCCTAAACCATGCAGTCCACACGTGGAATATATGAGCCCCCATGAAGGACTTCAATTGCCCGAAGATCAATAGCGACAGAATGCCACGCCGGCAACTACACAACAATGGAGACGTGATGAACACTAAAGCTAATGAGATGAACATAAATCCAATAACCAAAACATCAAACTCCGTTTTCCAGATTAACCCTCTCAAACAACAATAATGTCCGAGCAGGCTTGACCATCACAAGTACCTATTACAACCAACTCGTCACAGCTCATCAATTGATAATCAATTCTCAAAACGACTTGGCTGCAAAGATTTCACTCTTAGGATAATGGTTGTAACAGCAATAACGGCATTAGGCACAATACCTCCCATACTTGAATTCCAGTCCCCCAGAGTTCTTGAACCGTCGGGTCTGTCACCTAGCTACTGTGGTCACTGAGTCCGGTCACTTGGTACGCTGACCACCCCAAGACCTGGTCATCAGCTGGTAGACTGTTGTCGCTCTGCGGGCGAGCTTTTATTTCATTTGCCTTTCAATATTCTATTGCTGTGCAGCAGATGTTAAATGTGGATTGGCTTTTAGTGACTTTTGATTGACTCCTTATCAAAATATCCGATTAGTGAGCCCTGAAACTGATTGTCACATTGTCAGACTGGCTTGGCGGATCGTCTCTTCGTTTACTTAATGGGATTACAATTTGCTTTGTAGTTCCGTTTATGAGGTTTATGCAACAGACGTAAATATGAAAGAGTCTCATGATTAGAAGTGTGAGCGGATGCGAGAAGCAGAGACTCATGGCGAACACCTGGTGTCATCACTGATTTTCAGTGATCCACTGATATAATTTTCACAGGTATTTTCCCCTTTGTTCCTGAGGATAGTTAATGCTGGGTATTCCTTTGCACTGACGTTCCATATCTATCACCCATACAGCAAAACCTTCCGCAAGCCTGGTTAATATTTTAACTTCTTTGAGTGGTTAATATTTGAAACGATACCAGTATGATATCACATTCAACGCCATGTCGAGGAACTATTTCAGATGCAACTAAACTCCCGCGCAAAAGAAGGATTTGACATACTCGTATGACTTGGATTTGAAAAATTCAAAACGTTCTCAAATTGTTACGAGTCTGAAAACAGTCGAAGAAACACTGCGAACCTAAGTCAAATAACACACCAGTATCAAGTACATCACCAGTAAATAACCAGTGTTTGTCAGTTTAACAAATATGAGTGTATACTTTCTCTCGTCCGTCAGTGTACTGTCTCTGGTTGACGTTATTGCCATCTGGCATATTGTGTAGCAGGGTATGTGCATTTGATTTCTTTGTTTCTCCACATATTCATAAAGGGGCACACATATCTACTAGGGGCGGTGGGATAGCCTGTTGGTTAAAGCATTGGCTCGTCACGCCGAAGACCCGGGTTCGAATCCACACATGGGCACAATGTTTGAAGCCCATTTCTGGTGTTCCCTGCCGTGATATTGCTGGAATATTGCTAAAAGCGGCGTAAAACCATACTCACTCACTCACATATCTACTTGTTAACAAACAATTATTCTTCAAACATCAGACAATTACCAAACCTTTTCATACAATATGCAACGTGAGGTAGGAAACAGAGTACTGAACTATTGGAAATTTTCCCATGCTGCACATGTTTCCATAAAATGTTGAAAATAGAAATTAATTTGTGTCAAGCCTATTACTCGTTTGTTGGGAATAGCAAGCCTGTTTTAACTTGGAAGCCTTTGTGTGAAACAAACAGCTGATCCGGAAATTAAACACTTGTCCAGATTGCACACGTTTACATATCTCCCGTTGAACACGGAAACATTTAGTCTTATGAATTTAGAAGCTAATACCGTGACACAGAGAAACGGAAAACAACACAAGGAAACTTTATAGATCAATGTACTTCTGATAACAGACAACAAACTACTTTTCGTTAAGGTCAGTCGAGTATAAAAGGCAAACAATCCCGTTAGTATTTTTTTCTGAAAAAAAGTCGGAATAGTTGAAATATGAACACGATGACCAGGATGTGTTCTCAAACACAGAGGTTCATTGGAGCTATACACGTATGTCAAATAGCTGATAATGTGTATACCCACATGAATCAACCTAATTTCCTACAAAGACATCTTTCCTTCCATCTGTATAATTTAGCAGTAAAACGAGTGACAAGATCTTAAAGATCTGACGCATGAACATGTTGACACGGTTTTTATAAGACGAATCATGAAACATTTCGCTGCTGATCTTGATCAAAACAAACAAGTCAAGTTGTACCTACCGCCACAGTGTTAGCAGAAGTCCTTCAAGAACGAAGACGTCGACCAGAGAAGACAGTCAGGGGAACCACTGAGATGGGTGGCAGTGACCCGACTATGGATCCTAGATATTCCCACACATAAAACCTAAACTATGCGATAAACTGGCCAAATATACCATCGAAGCAGATAATGCGGGTTTGGTGGTCACTTTGTACCGACCAGGCTGGTCAAATGGTCATTTCACCCCAGGGGGCACCCATCACTGTCCAGTACAATATAAGTATATATCTCCTCTCACAGCGGTGCGTGGTTTACTGCCAGTATACGTTCGATATGCGTATTCAACCATACATTCCCAAATACATTCCAGAGAACCTAGGGCAATGAGAACTGCATATAAATCCAAATGTTAAATACACCCCAACGAAATAACCAACATAAAAATCAAACTACGTCAACGCTTGAAGCCGATTACATGATTCATGATGAACACCCACTGATTGTTCCAATTAAAGCATGCAATGCATGTCACACCACTTAAATCTTCAATGGAAATATATGGATGAAATTGTCGATAACCTTTGTTATCTGTCGTGACAGAGCCGTGATTAGAAGGATGACGATTGAAACTCGTGGGAAATACTCTCCACCCTTGCTATTAATGTTGCTTTATGTTCCACACATGAATACCAAGCTATTTTACTTACTATTGAAATAACAATCGGTGTATGTGTTATGTGGAGCGAGCAGGGAAATGAGTCGTGGCGTACACTATTGCGGAGGATTCTCCACCGTAGGTCATGCGTGGGATTTCCGTAAACATTGATGTCATGCTGAACTTTCTGACTGTCATGCTGAACTCTGTGACTGTCATGGGCGTGATTCCATCTGAGTTTGTAGTTCATGATTTAAGGTTATAACAACATAATTTCAATGATTTCAGTGACAATTACCTTTCTAAAATATAGCCCCTTTCAAATATGTTCGTTACACCTGCAACATGTTATATTACTATACTACATTCACGATTCAATAGGGGCGGTGGGGTAGACTAGTGGTTAGAGCGTTCGCTCGTCACGCCGAAGACCCAGGTTCGATTCCCCACATGGGCACAATGTGTGAAGCCCATTTCTGGTGTCTCCCGCCGTGATATTGCTGGAATATTGCTAAAAGCGGCGTAAAACCATGCTCACTCACGATTCAATATAATTACATATAATTTCGATTCATTTTCAGAATTCACATATCTTTAAGGGAACAGAACATGCAGGCTCCGCCGACAGTTCGCCGATGTAATTGGGGATCCTATGACATGCAAGCAGGGTGACAGAAAGTTCCATCTTTAACCATCGTTTTGGGTGACGCGCAAGGGGATCGAACCTCCGAGCTTCTGTTCTCCGGGTAGACGCTTTATCTACAAGACCATTGACCTCACACACAATCATATATCGTATAATGTCCATAGCGTCTTAAACCCCAAAATCACTCACACATCCTGTCAACTTGACGATGTGGGGGACACACTTACGTACATCTGTGTTGACAAAGGGTTTAAGCTGAAGACAGGCTGTCGCAATTGATGCTGAGCTCTGAATTTTCAAAGGAAATTGATACCAAAGTAAGACCTTGAGAATCCAGCTATTGGTTTGAAATTTCTCATTTTATCAGGATAATTTTTAACACTCAATTGTGACATCTCATTGTAAGACAGCAATCTTCTTTGTCATTTTGGAAGTTATTTCACGTGTTCTCTCACATTTCACTTCAAACAGTCTTCCATTCTTACAATACGACTTAATCTCTCTTGTGACAAATGATATTTTAACAACCCCTTAAAACTGACATCGACAAAGACGTTGGTCGTAACAAGATATATGGCCAGGTGAACCTCACCCCTCCCCGTCCCCGTCGTCAGCAGCCCTAATCCCCATCCAGGGGTGACATGATTGTCTGTGGGTGATGCTAGGACACACACCTGAGGTGAGAGGGGTTAGGGTTACGTGTGGGATGGGGTGGGGGTTACGTTTGGGGTCACATAAGCTCATGCATTTGATAGATTTTATCTCATAAATAGCGCACTGTCTCCTGGGGATTTTGTTCATGAATATGTATGAGAGTGGACGCTATAATTAGCTTCGTGACATGTTGTAAAGAAATAGAAAATTTAAGATTTACTTCATACAGTAAAACCTCGTTAATTCGGACAACTGTGATCCCAAAATACCGTCTTGAGGACGCACGTCGTTGATAACAAGACAAAACGCTATTTTTTTCATCGATCTGTACACAAATCATCTGAAACGATGCCGAAACTTCAAGTAAGGAAGGACGGTGCTGTAGCCTAGTGGTCAAAGCGTTCGCCCGTCACGCCGAATACCCCCAGTTTGATTCCACACATGGGTACAATGCCGGTTTCTGTTGTCCCCCGCCGTGATATTGCTGGTATATTGCTAAAGGTGGAGTAAAACCATACTCACTCACTCAGTTAAGGAAAGTTAAAGTTATGAGTGATTTCACCTTTAAAGAACACATCGCTGATAGTGGTCATATGCTATACGGTATAATCGGAATCCCACAATGGATTCCATTTCAGTGGAGGTTTGGTATGATTATTATGATTCATTTATTGTTATTGTTATTATTAAGATAAACACTCCACCAGGAATAGCATTATTAGAAATGATAATCACAACGAACACGTCTCTCCAAGTGCGCCAACTTCAATATCCACAATATACGTGTGTTTGTCTAGTCCCGAGAAGGTGAACTACTATGTTTCGTCAGTTTCTTGTGTCCCGAGTGCCCCCTTTCATCTGCTATATACAAAGATAAGAATGTGAATACACATAATATGTATACAGTTTTTTGTATGTGTTCTCAGAACGTGTTCACGTGCCCTGGCTGTCACTGAAAAACGCAATACCGCCATCCACCGGGAACTGTATAGAGTCCGTACTTTCTGAATAACCCAGGAATCTTGTTTAGGGTTAAGACGTTCTGTTATTGCTTTTTCTCTATTCATTTATCATAAGTATTGGTACCCCTCAGGCAAGCACCCTGTTATTAGAGGCGTCCCACGTTATGCGGGTGGGCTCGTGCTGTGACGGCTGTCTGGTGTAAGGCTATTGGACAATGTAACGTCAAACCACTGGAGGTGAGGTGAAATTGGGTTTTACGTCGTGCTTGAGAATATTTCGCTCATATGACGACGTGCATGCGTGTGTGTGTGTGAGGCTGCTTGTACTAGCCCAGACTTAAGCTGGTTTTATAGTGCTAGCCAACTGACATACAATGCCGCAGTGAAGCATGAATACCCCACTCAGACACATTATACTGACTCCGAGCCGACCAGTCCTTGTTGTACCCATTAATGCCGAGCGCCAGGCAGGGACCAACAAGTACCATATTTAAACGTCTTTTGGTATGACGCGGTCGGGGATCGAACCCGCGACCTTCCGCTCTCCAGGAGGACACTCTAACCACTACACCACGGAGGCGGTTCTCAAACCACTGGAGAGCTTATGGAGACTACTGACCATGCTACTCTGTCCATCAGCCACAGCCTTGTTTCACGAACTGATTGTAGCACAGATACTTTGCGTGCTTACGTATTGGCCTAGGCTAACGCTTAGTCTCTGAATATGCATCATTTTGATAGAAACAAATTTAAATTGAAAAGGAGACCCAGTGATATGGGAGATTCAGAATCTGAGAAAATCTAGATTTGTTTCATTTAGGTAAGAATTAGGATTTGCTTCATTCATTGCAGAAAGGGCTGGGCTGATGGGGAAATCATGCGGTTCAGGGACTGTGAGACATGCTAGTGTTGGCCCTGTGAAGTGGTTAAAGATCGTTTTGTGTTGTGAAACAGAATATAAACACAATACCCTTCATTTCGAGTTGAGTGAGTGCGTGCGTGCGTGCGTGAGTGCGTGCGTGCGTGCGTGCGTGCGTGCGTGAGTGAGTGAGCGAGCGAGTGAGTGAGTGAGTGAGTGAATGAAACTCAACGGCTGATGGGTATCAGAAATGGACCCTGAACACATCTGGGGAATCAAGCCCAGGGCTCAAACATATTTGGTGTACCAATAATAACTTGACAAAAGCAGACAAACAAACACAAAAATCGGTCACAAGCTACATTGTCCAATCTGAACCTTGATCGATGCCTTTTCGATAACAGACGAAAATACCATTCCAGCCAAACGGACACTTAAAACGCTCTGGTCTTATTTGATGGTCACATGGGAGACTGGACATATACACTGCCGCACATCACTCAATCCTCCCCCAGTTATGTCTTTAATCCCGCCACATTAATACATCTCCTTCATAATCCTTAACACCCCCCTCGTCATCCTATATATTTGAGCAGCATTCTATCCCACGCATATTATTACTGTATACGGAACCCTCATCTAATCCCCCTTGAAGGGCCCCCGGGGTGGGAGTAACTCCAAAATTGACCCACCTTCTTTATGGAACATTTAACCCCGCTAAACACATGCCTCTGTATTTGAAAATGTCGCGACTGTTTGAAAAACACCGTAGGTGAGGAGTGATTAGAAAAGTCGGATAATGCCAGGTAACTTTGTTACATGTTAATGTCCCCCTCTACAGCGTTAGAGAACAATGATAATACTTACCTACTTCAAGACCTGGTGAACCAAGAGGCAAATTTAATCCCCTTCTACTCAACCCACTGGACACGTTATTCCGTCACCCCTGATATGTCACGTGTAACGTTTGTCACTGAACCGTAACATACGTCGATACTGCGAACAGAACATTTCAACATTACCATCAGGAACCCGCACCACTGCTTTCAGCAGCAACGCGTGCTTTTATTGGTAATTATTTTCGAACCAGATACGGTTTTTTTCCAATAGGAGTTCATTTTTGATTCAATATCACTTAACGTGTGTTTATTTCTTTGATGCAACCCAGCATCACGCCCAGGGAGATCCGTACTACGCGCTCTGGAGGGACATGTACATCAACAGCGTTCTTTGATCGGCCGGGATGAGATGGAGCGATTTTCTCGTTATGTCAGAAAAGCGGCGTACAAGCTACCATAACTCACGTCAAAATGGCCAGGATGACAATAAATTTGTTACAATATGACAGGAAGGAGACACATTGTCGTTTAATCGACGTTGTCGTAATAGCATATTTCTGAAAATGATTCTAAAACGGTTTTCATCTTATCATGTCCATATTTTTTTGAATAAAAAATGAAATCTGTTACGTTTTTACGGATTAATTGCGTCATGCATTTCGACAAAATTTAATGGGAATGATTGTATTTTCAATATC